CTGGCTTGTGATTGTGTTTTCGTCGTCGTGCTGTTAGTACGTCATATGCTTCGTTGATCTGATTGGTTTATTTGGCCCGTCTATCACCAACATAGGCCAATCAGCTAACCAGTATTTTCGCCCCTTCCCAAAATTACTTCAACGGAAGGTTTCCAGGTGGATATGCGGAGCAAATCCAATAAATCCAATAAATCATCTGCTATATTTTTAAAAGGTATAGCTAGCACCTCCATCTATACTTTATTTTCAGTGTTCTCAGATTTGCCTGTTTCCAGCCCAAAAACAATGTGAAACCCTCATCCTAATAAAAAAAAAAAACACAACATAAATTCCTCTGAACCTTCTGTCAAAAGTGTGAACCTATAAAACACCTGACCACAAAGTTAAATTCTGACTGAGGGACTACAGAAGCTAAAAAGAGTTAGCTTTGGATCATCATCTGGAAAAGCAGCAATCTATGATTTTAGCTCCACATCAGCCTCTGCTGCTTTTCTGAATATGTTTTCATTTATCTCACTTCAGCATCATCCCAGCTCGGATGCGGAGTTGGAAGTGGAAGCGCTGGGAATGACGTTAGCATGATCTTAATAACAATCCATCCATGTCTGACTTAAAGAGCGGCTAATGTTGTCTCTTCACAGAGGGAGACGCCGTAGGTACGGCTTTTGTCAGGAGCTCTGTGTCGATATTTACTGGACAACAAAGCAACTTTTTTAATGAGAGCACAAAATAAAAAACATGTCCTTCTCAAAATGTTCTAAGCACAGAAAAAAGCCACCATGCAGTGCTCCAACTTTTCCCGATCTCGTCTGACCTGCTTCACCCACTTTGGCTACGTTCACACTACAGGCCTTGATACTCAATTCCGTTTTTTTTTTTTTTGTGAAATCCGATTTTTTTACGTTGCCGTTCATATTTCCAACTATATGCGACTTGTATGTGATCTCCTGTGTGAACTGCAGTCACACAACACAAGTGTCCCGCATGTGCAGTAGAAGACGCAATGACCTCACAGGCCAGCGTGCTCTTTTTTCCCGAAAATAAACATGGATGGTAGTGCCGGCGCGCATCTAGCGGTGTTTTCATACCATGAAAACATTCTTTTCAATATGGTTAAACATAAATACTACTCTCCGTATCATCATCTGCCATGGTTGTTGTTTTTCTTGCCGCTTCTGCGTAGCAAGACGCAGAATAGTGACGTTTGTCGGGTATTAATGACGTTCAGTTCCGATGAATCCGACCTGGCCGTTCAGACACATCGGGACACATTCAGGACCACAGAGCCAAGTGGCCTGGGTCGGATTTGGAAAAATCGGATCTGTGTTGTTCAGACAGCCATGAAAAGATCAGATCCAGGTCCCATATTGTTGGGATCCAGAGGTTTGCCCTCCAGAGGGCGATGTGGATCCCTTTCTGAGGGGTTCTGCTGTCGGTTGGGATCCAGAGGCTTGCCCACCAGAGGGCGCCGTGGATCTTCTCCTGAGAGTTGGTGCTCATTAGAAGCAGCTGATCCCCATCTGCTGATTAAGAGCTCTCCCTATATAAGCTGAGTGAGAGCTCCCCTCTGAGCAGGATTGTTGTCCTTGCCATGGAAGCAAACCCGAGCCACTCTGCCTGTTTAACCCTGCCTGTCTGAACCTGCTAACCTGTGAGTTTGAGTCTGTAAACCTGTACCAGAACCTAACCTGCTCTGTCCTCTCTGCCTCCCAGGAGGAAAACCTGTGTCTTTATAATAAATATTGGACTTTAAAGGAAAATTCCGGTTTTTAACCCCCTTTAGCCCATTTTCTGTAGTGTCCAGGATGAAATCGAACGATCGACACCAAAATTTTGACGATTGGTCCTGTCTCTGCTATTTGGCTCATGCAGAATCCCCCCCTGGGAGAATGGCTTCCATAGTGCATGTCCGATAATGTCCTTAAAACAACCTTAAACGTTCTTTTTTTAAAATATGCTACTCAC